TTTCTTTCTTTTTACACAACCATAACTCTTCTTCCTTACTTTAACGCAACCCTTTTCCCTCGTCTCATTACAACGCGACAATCCTGTTATTAGATACGTGAGATCACGTGAAAGAACGAGTATATATATATGTATATATATATATGTATATATATATATATATGTATGTGTATAATATTTAAATATATATATATATATACATATATATGAGTGTCTTGTTGAATGAACGGATTCATTACGCAATGAAAGTCTACGCTATACTGACACTGTTTACTAAATTCGAAATGGAGAATGAGATGTCCTCCTTCTTACTTTGCCAATGACGTATTTTTTCTTAATATATATTTGACGTCTATCTGAAATAATCGACGAATCTATTTCAATGATTTCTTTTCTTCGTTCTTCGATATGTATTTAATATCGCAGGAACTTATGTGTGTGCGTGTGTTTGTACAGATATATCTAATTTCTTTTTTTCTTGTTTTCTTCTTCTTTTTTTTTTTCTTCTTTTTTTCTTCTTATATACAATATCATTCAAACGATAATTTATCTAGTTGCAAATACATTTATTTTATTTAGAAAGATTCAATCGATTTATATTTGATCGGTATCGTTATTGTTCATTGAATTATTACTTTCGTTTGTTCTTTTTTTTTTTTTTTTTTTTTCCTTTTTACTTAGCTTTAATACGGATCATTTATTTTTTTCTTTTTTACATAGGATACATGTTTATTTCTTTATTGATCATAGTTCAAATAAATTCCATAGGTATGTCTTATTTAGAAAAATAAAAAGAATACATATATTTCCCTTATATATATATATATATATATATATATGTAAATGTTAATAAGGAAAATTTTTAATCTAAGGAGATCTCTATGAGAGAGGAGATCATATTTTCATATTATATATCCTGACAGTTCGCTACAACTCGAATGATACATAGCACCAAAAGAAATAAATATTCCGGTTCACCTGCTACCGTGTAAAGCTAAGAGACAGAGTCAGAGATAGACAAGAGAGAGAGAGAGAGAGAGAGAGACAGAGAGATAGATAGATAGATAGATAGATAGATAGAGAGAGAGAGACAGAGAGAGAGAGAGAGAGTCCTTGTGACTTTTGGCGGACGTAATCTCTGGAGGATCACTCGAGATTACTAGGATTGGCATATCATTTGAGCGAACGAACGAGCGACTCTGTTCGTGTTGACGTGCAATATGTCGCAACACGATTGCGTTGCTACTCGGCGACAAGACGCATTTGCGGCCGAATAGGGACGCACTCTCTGAAGGAGAGAACATGGACCAGAGCGAGAGAGACAGAGAGAGAGACAGAGAGAAAGAGAGAGAGAGAGAGAGAGAGAGAGAGAGAGAGAGGATCAGAGAGTGGTTCGTTACTAGTACTATCAGAGAGGGTGAAGTAACGTTGCTAGTGTTGGTTGTAGGTTGAACAGATGCAGATGAGGTCGCTACTCTAGGTGCATCGATCATTGGGGTAATGTGGCTGCATCGTACTCTCTTGGCTACCCCTAATCAGTAGCTAGACTTGCTCTCCTATCCTTCCCTAATCCGTTGCCTAGCCAGCACATTAATCTCATTTGTCATAGAGTAGTTGAAGATCGAGAACCAAGAAATTCACTATTTGGCTTCAAACTTCTATCTAAGAGATAATACTCTCTCTCTCTCTCTCTCTCTCTCTCTCTCTCTCACTCTTTCCTTATTCTTACATTTGATAATTTCTTTTCGGACTTAAAGATGGATCTTCAAATATAAAATTTTCTTCTTTCAAGATTATCTGACGATAATCTGAAAGATTACTCGCTTATTATCTTCTTCTTATTCTTCTTTTTCTTCTTCTTACTTCTCTCTTAGAATTTGATAATCATTTCTCAAAGAGACCCTCCCTCTGTCCTTTCCTCCCACTTATCCTAGTAGCTCGAGTAATAGCGAAGGTGGAGATAAGAAATAATAATAATAATAATAATAATAATAATAATAATAATAATAATAATAATAATAATAATAATAATAATAATAATGATAATAATAATAAGGAGAAGAAGAGGAAGAAGTAGGTGAAGAAGAAGTAGAAGTAGAAGAAGAAGGAGGAGAAAAGGAAGAAGGAGAAGGAGAACGATAAGTTACGAGATTTGATGTAAATAGCGCACTTACTTATTCGCCACCGTCGCACGGCACAAGTTAAAAATACGAAGGCCAAAGTAAGGGGAGAGTGAAAAAGAGAAAGAGAGGAGAGAGAGAGAGAGAGAGAGAGAGAGAGGAAGAGAGAGGAAGAGAGAGAGAGAAAGAAGGAGGGTGGAAGCAGAGACTTTTTTGCGTAATGAAAGCAATCAATTCAAGTCCCTGTCGCCTCCAACATCCCACTGAGGGTTCCATTTCTCTCTCTCTCTCTCTCTCTCTCTCTTTCTCTCTCTCTTTCTCTCTCTTTTCTCTCTCTTTTCTCTCTCCACTAAAACCAGTAGATTCTCTTCTAAGGGTAGAAGGGTAGAAGAAGAAGACGAAGAAGAAGAAGGAGAAGAAGAAGAACAAGAAGATGAAGAAGACGAAGGAAAAAAAAGAAGTAGAAGTAAAAGAAGAAGAAGAAGAAGAAGAAGAAGAAGAAGAAGAAGAAGAAGAAGAAGAAGAAGAAGAAGAAGAAGTAGAAAAGAGGGTGGTGACCACTCACCCTCGTCTCCGCAACGTGCAACCCTCTTTCTCACCACCCCAATGGTGGCCACGACCACTTTTGTAGTCATCATAAAATGCCCTGCTTTCAAGTTCCGACGATTGCTACTCTTTTCTCTCTCTCTCTCTCTCTCTCTCTTTCTTTTCCTTTTTTCTTCTCTTTTTTTTCATTTTCTTTTCTTTTCTCTCCTTCTTCTTACTCGCTTCCATCCACAATGAAGGTAACGATGGTAGGAAATAACGAAGTGGAGGGAGCGAGAGAAACAGAGAGAGAGAGAGAGAGAGAGAGACAGAGAGAGACAGAGAGACGGAGAGAGAGAGAGAGAGAGAGAGAGAGAGAGGATGGTTGTTGGTAAAGGAAGAAAAGAGAAAGAAACCTTCTTCCAACTCGTGATGCTTAAGGATGCTGGAAAAAGAGAGAGAGAGAGAGAGAGAGAGAGAGAGTGAAGCAGGTTACTTTATAGAGCCCTCTCGTAAGAGGGCAAATATCCTTGGATCGAGCCGTGAACGTGAGAGGGAGGAGTGCTTCGAGGGTGGTGACTCGGACGATCCCTTTAAAACAGCACTAAAGTATCGTTAATCTTGAGAAAAGGAGCTCTTACTTTCGACGAGACAAACTGGTTAGACGCATCTACTTGATGCAAAAACAAATTCTCCTACTTTCTCGAGGTTTATAAGTTCTGTCCTTTCTTTTAGTTCGTTTCTTATCTCTTTTCTTTTTTTTCTTTTCTTTTTTTTTTCATTTTCTCTCTCTCTCTCTCTCTCTCTCTCTCTCTCTCTCTCTCTCTCTCTCTCTCTCTTATAATCTCTATCAGTATCATAAGAAAGTTATTTGATCGTTCGATCGTACGATACTCTTTCCTTTTTCTCTTCACGATTAACATGAAATATAATTACGTTTTATTATAAATAAATACATTTTACATTTACATTTGCGTCATAATACGAAATTGTTTATTAAACGAATGAAATAAATAAGTTGAAAGTAAAAGATGAATGAAAAAAGATATGTAAAATTATGAAAAGTTATTAAATTTAATTACGATTCGTTTAATCTCGTTGATACACGTAAAAGGGAATAAAATGAGAATCTCCTCCATTGATAAAATTTGTCTAATTTTGTTGATACGCGACGAAATAATCCCTAGTCAATGTTGGATAATACGAAAGGGATTCCAGGATATAGGAACGAAGTTCGAAACGCCGTACCGCGCCGTGCCACACACTCATCCCACGGGAAATGCTAAATGTCAAACACACGAGCCTCTGTTAATCCCGTGGGATCGAAAGGCCACAGCATCGTAATATGATTACGTTCTGTCTGTCGCTCTCTTCCCCATGTTTAATCCACGATTACTACCTACATTCGCACATAGAGAGAGAGAGAGAGAGAGAGAGAGAGAGAGAGAGAGGAAGAGAGAGAGTGAGGGTCGCGTACTCTCTTTGTTGACGTATTCGCATATAAATATCATTTGTCCTCGGCTATGATAGTTGAATTTTCATGGAGAATGAATAAATAATATTACGATTTTAATGATTAAATAATGATGGTTCATTGCTCCTTATATCGTTCGATTGTGAATAAAGTTATGCAAAAATGAGGACAATTTGTTTGTTTGTTCCATTGTTTTTTTCTTTTCTTTTCTCTTTTCTTTTTTTCTTTTTTGTTTTCTTTTTCTTCTTAAAGATCGATATATAAGAAGGAAGAAGAAGAAGAAAAAAAAAAAAGGAAGAAAAAAAAGAAAGAAAAAACGAAACAATGAGAAATTATTTACGATATAATTATGATACGTATCAAAATGTAACATGATATTAATAATAAATTTACGTACTGTTTATACAAATATTGCAAGGTGTCTTCTGATAATTAACTTCATATTTAGTATAATAACAATCGTTCCAAGGATTCTGTGCAAATGTACATGTAGTCATTATACTCGAATTCACTTGTTAACATATAACGCGAGTATAAACGTGTTAATGTAATATATTTTTCACATGTAATAATCAAATATTCGATATTCGAAAGATATATCTTATCTTCTTCTCTAGTATTTATTAGTGAACTGATCCGTTCTCTCCTTCTTCCCTTTCTCCCTCTCTCTCTCTCTCTCTCTCTCTCTCTCTCTCTCTCTCTCTCTTTCTCTCTCTCTCTCTCTCTTTCTCTCTCTCTTTCTCTTTCTCTCTCTCTCTCTCTTTCTATTTCTCTAGTAGAAAGGACACACGTTCTTCGTTCAATGGATCGTCGTCTCGCGTTCTTGAACTTTCTCAATATTTATATTTACGCTTTCTCAAGGGTATCGTGTTGTGTTTCAGATTCCTATGAGAAAACTTAACAAGGCTCATTCATCTTTCGTTACGTGTCGAGTAAAGGTACCGATCGTGTAACTTCTATCATCGTGAGTATCGATATCATTTTATTTATTTATTCCAATGATATTTTTTACTTAGAACGTGTAATAAGAGGAAGGAATATACGAGTGCATATATATATATATATATATATATATATATATATATATATATTTATTATGTTTATTCATGTATTTGTTGTAGAGAAAAATTGTAAGGGAAAAACAAAAAAAGATTTTACGTATCGATCTTCCAATTGTAAACAATAAAAGTAATCATTAAAAAAACAAAAATAAAAAAAAAATATATATATATATATAGCAATCGTTTATTCATATATTTGGTAGAGAAAAATTATGAAAAGAAAAAAGAAATGGAAATTTTACGTATTGATTATTCAAAATTAATCATTTAAATATTTTTATCGTGAATTTATGGAACAACGTGAGAGTGAAATTTTTTCAAAATTAATCAATTAATTAATTTATCAGAAGAATTAATTTCTCTCTGTCTCCTCTCTCTCTCTCTCTCTCTCTCTCTCTCTCTCTTTCTCTTTTTTAAAAAGTTAACTTTTTTTTTTAAGAGATCATTCATATAGAAGGTTCAATAAATTTCGGTATCGTTCCCCGTATTAGGTATGAATGGCGTAACGGTAATGGGCAAAGAAGGGTTATGCCACGTATATAAGGGGGATGTACTTGAGTGGTTTGTCGTTTGTGGTGGGTGGAAAGCTCGCGTAAGTCAGGGCTAAGTGGGTGCGCCGGTAGGTTTCGCTAAGGTGCACGTGCTGCCGCGTGTCGCCAGCCCTTTTGTGACATATATCCATGTATACATATATATAGACATGTGTGTGTGTGTGTGTGTGTGTGTGTGTGTGTGTGTCTGAGTTGTTGTCGTTCCATAGAGATCCATACGCATACCCACGCACTCGTGACTTACGATTTATATGAAAATTATTTTACTTTATGTCCTTTAAATATATCCCGTTCTTTCTCTCTCTCTCTGTCTCTCTCTCTCTCACTCTCTCTTTCCCCCTTCTCTTTCTTTGTCCCTCTTTTTTTTTATCTCTCTTTTTCTCTCTTTTACCCCATCAACCAACACAGCTTTCTATCGAGAGGCCACTTCGTTTCAATAAAAGCACTTTAAAAGCTATCGATTGTTTGGAAATCGGAAGTTATACTCCAAAGTAGTAGATCACTCTCGATGAAAGCATCGAAAGGATCGTTTTAAAGTTATCCCTTTCTTCATTATTGTTAATAATAATAATAATAATAATAATAATAATAATAATAATAATAATAATAATAATAATAATGATAATAATAATAATTATTATTATTAAAATTTTATTCGAAATTATTTTTGGGGAACTCGCTTTTTTATATAGCCACATACAACAAACACACACACACACACGCACACGCACACACACACACACATATATATATATATGTAAGGCGACTCATCCGAAGTCTTCCCCCTTTCTTATTTCCTTTAAAGATATTTTTTCTTTTGAACACAGTTTGAATAAAAAGATCATCGATCATCCCCATGATCGAAAAGTTTTGATAGTGATCCACGGAACGTTCCAATCGGGTGGAACCATTAATTTCACGTGATCCGTGCTCAATTTTTATGTGTTACACCCATATCTCCGCCATCTTATTTTCAGCTGGAACGCACCAATAAATTTTGTCGTATATGATTACTAATTTAACACTTCAAAAAGTTTAACGAAATCAACGAAGTTTTCATATATTTGAAATGTCATTTGTTTCTTTCCATTTTTATCCTTTTTCCTTTTTTTTCTTTTTTTTTTTTCTTCTTTCTTCTTTTTTTTTCACGCCGTAAATCCAAGCAAAAATATTCATACAATTTTTCCATGTCAATTTTATTTTTCTTCATTTATCCATGGTTATCGTTTAATTAGATAATAAATAAAGAGAAAATATATGTAGACTCTTGGGTGAGGTGGGAGGGGGGGGGTGGGAATTAGGGGATGGAAATTTAGGATCATTGAGGATTCGTGCGAATTCAAAGCTACCGTAGAAGAAAAAGAAGAAGAAAAAGAAGAAGAAGAAGAGCAGGAAGAAAATAAAGAAGATCCCAAAAGGAAATCTCTTCCTCCCTAGCTATGTCTGAGGTGATGATGTGGTCGTGAATAAGGGAGTGGGTGGACTGCCTCGAGGGGGTTTAACTTAGGGGTTGGTGCATATTTCACGCTCGGTGGTCCCATCTCGCGGAGACAATCTGAACCAACGCGGATACATCATCGCGTGACGCCATGTAATAACCTCTAGGCCACCGCGAAAGAGAGAACGCCTTTCAAAACCCTCTTATTTATTCATCTCACCTAGTACACCTTCTCTCCCTTTCCTCCCTCCTTCCTTGGCTTGGCCTTTTTACCCTCCACCCTCTTCGTATCATTTCAGAGCTCTTCCGAGATGACTTCGTTTTTTCTTTTTCTTTTTCTTTTTCTTTTTCTTTTTCTTTTTCTTTTCTCTTTCTTGTTGTTGTTTTCGTTTTTTTTTTTTTAATTTGTTTTCTTTTTTTTTATTTGTTGGTTGTTTCTGTCCTGACATCTCGTCGGTTTAATCGAAGGGGTTGTCTTTACTTTTTCTCTCTCTCTCTCTCTCTCTCTCTCTCTCTCTCTCTCTCTCGTGTTCCTTTATTACGATCATTCGAAAAAATTCTCTCAAGGATAATTTCGAAGAATATTAATTAAAAATAATAATATTAGCCGGTCGATGATCTTCCAACGAGCATTAACGAAGCAAAATTATAATATAAAATTTTATGTATGATATATTATTATATATGATCACGTGATAACGATCATCCACTTCGATCATTTTCGTAAGATTTTATGAAATTGATAATTTTTTTTTTTGTCGATCGAGAATAGAAGAAAAAAGTAACAAAAAAAAAAAAAAAGGAAGAAAAACAAGAAAAAAGACCAAAAAAAAAAACAGGAACGAAGTATAATGAAAAAATTTCTTTTGCATATAAATTCGCTTTATAATAATTTCTTTTTTCTTCTTTTTCTTTATTTTTTTTTTTTTTTTTTTTTACACATAAATCATAGTCATAACGATGCAAAAATTAATCTAATTTTCGATTGATCGAGAGAAGAAGAAGAGAAAGGAAGAAAGAAAGAAAGAGAGAGCGTGAGAGAGAGAGAGAGAGGGAGAGTAGAGAAGAATAAAAAATTCATAGAAAATTCTTGAAATAGATGTCGAGAGTATGTCAACGAATACGAGTTAACACCAACAACAATTTTTCTTTCTTCGAGATTAGGGTTGAAGTAGGCAACCAGATGTTCGGTAGTAAGTACATCGACGAAGGATCGGTGACGAAGAAGAAGACTGTATCACTATTTTCTCTCTCTCTCTCTCTCTCTCTCTCTCTCTTTTTCTCAAGTTTTGCACCCTTTCGCGTGTAATAATAATCCGAGTAACGTGATAAAAAGAAAAAGACGAGAAGGATGGTAGAACGTATCGTAGAACGACGCCACAAGTACTTGAACTCTTCTTCTTCATCGTACGACCGAGAGAGATAGATAGATAAAGGAGTGAGTGAGTGAAAGAGAGAGAGAGAGAGAGAGAGAGAGAGAGAGAGAGAGCACGCGCGCGCGCCCTCGCGTGCCAGAAAGGCTATTTGTCGGATGACAAACGAGCGGCGGGCTACGTGGGTGGCTTCGACGAGAAGCGCCGTGCAACGCTCCGTGTCGCGAGCTACTCCTTCGGACTCTCCGGATGCGAGAACTTTATCTAGGAAGTCTCTTTTTCTTAGAGACATTTACACACATATATATATATATATACACACACACACACACACATATATATATATATATATATATATATATATACGCTGAAAAGTATGTGTATCTATTGAATCTGCTCTAAAAAGAAAATGTATTTGTTCGAGTAAAAATTTGAAAAAAAATTATACTCCGTTAACTGTCCCTTCCATAATTATGTTATAATTTATGTTCGAACGAGTATTGCGATGTATCAAAAAAAAAAAAGAAAAAAAAAAGATACAGAAAAGAAAAAATATTAACGGGTATGGTTTTATGCGATTGAAATTATTGAAATTGGATATAAAAGAAGAAGAAAAAATATGTGAAGTATATCATCGGACATGTTCACCGGTTCTTTTTTTTTTTTTTTGTTTTACGTCTAATCTCGGTTTCGTAGTTGCGATTGTAAGTCGTAAAAAGAAAAAAAAAAAAGAAAAAAGAAAGGAGAAAAAAAAACAAACGTCGTGATTTACTCGACAAGAAGGACGGTGTTTCGTTTGATTTTGCAATTAAAATAATGAAAAAAGTTGACCGTAAAAAATTTTTTCTTTGGAATTCATTATGATGTCGCTTCTAATCGCCGTATCCTCGAGAAGAGAATTTTCTTTATTATCTTTGCGTATCATTTCGTAACATTATTACATATTTATATATATATATATATATATGAATCGTAGGATATATATCATAAAATTTTAGTAAGTCTTAGAATATGCCTCTAAGGTATACATAATGTCGTAACTATAATTTATATTCTAATTATTACTGAATAATTTTCTTATAGAATTGATTGTAAAAAAAAAAAAAGAAAAAAAGAAAGAAAAAAGAAAAATGAAAATGTTCGAATAGAACTGGTTTTATAACGAGATCACGATTATTATACTATATGTATTGGATTATCTATAACTATCATAGATAATTCTGACGTATGATATTACGATCGAATCTAATTCGAGATTTTTCAATTAAAGATCATAAAGTATCATTGTAAATAAAATACTTTTTCGTTTGATATTTCCAAAAAAAAAAAAAAAATAAAAAAATAAAAAAATAAAAAAATATTCAATGTATTTAACGTTTCAATTAATCGATTAAGATCGAGAACAATAAATTCAATATTAAATTCATTCGTATAAATCGCGGAATCGTTTATCAACGTGAACAAATTTTTGTATTATCGAATACGTATCTAATAATATCAAACGTATTATCGAGTTTATATAAAAGAAGAAGAAGAAGAAG